TCCAATAACTGAAAACTATCGGATTCAACAAAATCCGATGATATCAATGTAATCCGATTGCATATGGTCAGTATTCAAAATATGCTTTAATTATATTTCGAAGAACAGTGAATTTTCTTCCTTTTGTGGAATCCGTGATTAGTGTGATTATTGAAAGGGAATATTCCATATTGTATTCATGCAAGGTTGTCAAGTTAACGCGCCACCTATCTACTTTGTTGAATTGAATAAAAACGCACATAACGATTTGTAAAACTTGTCATTTCACTTCTTTTGAATGAGAAAATCATTTTAAAGGTTATTTTTGCTCTATTTCGAATATATATATATATTTTAGAAAGATGGATGTTGATCTAGAAGATGCTCTTGAATTGGCCAATGAAAAGTATCAACTTTATTTAAAAAAGAAAGACGGAAAATCTCGACAATCTCGTTTGAATCATCAAGATTTTGATTTTTTCTCCTCACAATCGATCTCGTGTTCATCAGTTAAGAGAAATCACTCAACTGTTTTTCATTCTTCTATTAAGAATGGAATTCCAGGTGTTAATACTGATGTTCCGGAGGATGAAGATAATACTTCAGATGATGAAGATGATGTGATTGATTATGATACTGATGAAGATACACAAGCAATTAAATACTACATTGGCACACAAGATTCCGCACGTTTGTTTTGTGCTTTAGGCAAATTTGAAGTTTTATACCTCATGATTGGATAGTGGTTGAAAAATGAAATTTTTAGTGTAGACAGAAGTCATACAGAGGGTGTGTGTGTGATGAGAAGATTTACACCCACACCCACACCCACCACCTACACCCACGCCCACACCCATACCTACACCCGCACCCTCAAAGAAATCTTTTTGAAAGCTGCATAGTTAAATGCATGCGAAAGAGTTCAACAGAAGCTATCCATTGATGTGTCGAACGAATCAAAAAATTTATCAGAAACTTCATAGAAATAAATAAAAAAAACAAATGCCTTTTACTACAAAGCATCTCATAGATATATCGAAAACTAAGCAGCTTGAATAGTATTGAATAGAACTTAATAAGAGCTATCAATTGTATATCAATATATGGTACATGCTGGTAATATAATATTAAAATAATATAGTTACTTAGTGCTGTGCATGACGACTATAAACAGCGCTGGATTGTATCGCAATAAACTCAAATACAGCACATTATTTACGAACGACATACCTAGGTCAATATTCACGTTAATTCAGCTGTATGAGAGCATTACATGGAAATATTGTTTAATCGAAGCTCCTATTATAGATCAGAAAACAAATAATGCCAATTTGATCTTGAAATTTTGTGCTTGTGTTCGAATGAATGTTTTCTGATTTCTGTTCTTGAGATCATCGTAGCATAAAACACATACTTTAGATATCTACACATAGAAAGAAAAGAAAAAAACTTGTGACGATTCGTATAAATGCTATAGTAGAAAGTAATACAAACGAACGAAGGTCGTAATGACATGCCACTATACGAGTAAAAATATTGTATCAGTAACAAAGAAAAGTTTATAAACATAACGAGTGAAAAAAAATGAGATGTAGACTGTGGATCTTCTCTTCGCTTACATTCTATGACGTTTTTTCAGTAATTAGATTACTTAGAGAATTATTTTTTTGTTAAACATGCATCTGTTGAATAATATGTTCGTTTGGACATTATACGATCCACAGGTCACTCAACATGAAAATGCAAAAAAAAAAGAAATGATTTTTTTTCTTTATTTTTCTTCAATTTCAGGCTATATTTAAAACAAATACTTCATCGATACTGTATACCTGATAACATAAAACATTGAATAAAAAAAAAAACAACGTTTTTCAAATATGGTATATATTTATTAGAGAGGCATAAAAAGTGTTTATTTAAATTCTCTCCCTCGAGAAAAAAAGGTCCATTCCAATCCGATTAATCGAAATTAAGATACTAAATGCAAGGAATGATAGGTTGAGATCGAATCTTTCACAAACAATATAATTTTTGGCATTAAAATGCAAGAAATCTTTTTTGGTTATTTTCTCTGTTTATACTTTTCTGATCATGTATTCGATAATTGTCGAAGGAGCATCACATTGTAGCTAATTAATTTTTTGTTTCAAGGAGCATGTGAAGCTACTATATCCGTTTTTTGAATTAAAATTTTTCCTTATTATAAAAAAAGGCAATTGTATAGATTGATGATCATTTTTCAAGTTATTCAACTTGTCAATCTTTTACTTTACATAAAAAGTAGAAATTGAAAACAGATGACTCTGTTAAACACTACCGTCTGACATATTTTTTCAAATAAAAAACAAAATAAAAATATAGAATGAACACCCACAGAGAATTTCAGGTTGTCAAACGACTTATTTTTGAACCTTGCTTGTTGAATATCTTCCGAAAACGTCATCGTACAAGATTGAAAATTTCATGCCATTTGAATGCATCTGACGAGGGAGGGTCCCCAACTGGCCAATCGTTTTGGAGTTTGGACTTTGTGCATAGGGTGGACCCCAGTGAGGTATGAAAAACCCCAAAAGGATAAGTGCTGTTAGGCCTTCTGTTCATAGTTATGGGCAATTCACTGAAATTTCAGTTTCTGTCATGGTATATACCAACAAATCGAATGACGATTTTTGACCTTAGATTTTGCTCACAGATAGGTCTATTTGTGAGTGGGATGCTCTGAAAATTTTAGCTCAAAAGAATGTTTCCTTCCCGACATGTTAAAGTCCTAGAAAACAGAAAACTCTGGCATTTTTCGTGGGATGTGAGTGGTTTTGGGGGTTTTCATATGTCGGGAAGGAAACATTCTTTTGAGCTAAAATTTTCTTGACGCTATCCTCACGTAATTTCAAATAGTCATTAAATGCATTATATCCAACCGCTCATGATAATCAAGTCTTTTTAATTTAACTATCATTATGATAGTCGATTACGCTAGTTCTCATATAATTTAGATGGGATTCTTAAAAGATGGAAAACGTTAGGAAAAACATCAAAGAAAAAACACTGACCAATGAAAAACGATCAGGAAAATATTTTCCAAAACATGATTCGAGTGTCTTGATCTTATGTTTCATAGATTTCTATCAGAAGTACAATTTGGATAGATTAAAATTAGAGTGTCGAGTTAATATTTACTTTTAATTTAGATTATGAGTAAATTAAGGACCTACCCCCCCCCCTCAAAAAAAGTCAATTTTCGTCAAAATTATCGAAATTGAGATAAATACATCGGAAGATAGCCCGTCTTCTGCTCTTTCAGAAATCACATTGGTTTTTCTTCGGCACCTCGTTTTTGGCCAAAATTTTCGATGATTTTTGTTAAGCTCTTCTTGAAAAAAATGCTTATTTTAAAAAAAACGAAAAATGTTTTTCGTTTTTTCTCAGTTTAGGCTTTCTGAACCGCGCAATCCATTTTTCTCTATCCAGGCTCATTCAATATATTTTAATTTTTTTTTTGTTTGAAAGAGCACGTCAAGATGCAGTGCAGTACAGAGTCCTTTTTTTAATTAAGCTTTATTTTTTATTATATATACAGACATTTATGTAATTAGACACCCATTTTTGGCGCGTTTTTTGAGTCACTGAACTTGTGATTCCCTTTTTTCGCTAAAAAAGTAAGAATTTAAAAAAAAGGACTCTGTACTGCACTGCATCCTGAGATGCTCTTTCAAACAAAAAAAAATTAAATATATTGAAAGAACCTGGACAAAGACAAATGGATTGCTAAATGAGCTATTTTTGGCCCTTGTTTGGTTCGTATCTCTGTCAAATATCAGGGTATCGAGCTGAAAATTTTATCACAGCCTCCTCCCTTCAGCCCCAACATATGCTCCAAGTTTCAGCCCATTTGAACTTTCATGGGCTGAGATCGATTTTTGAGTGTGGGGGGGGGGGGGGGGGGGCTTAAATGATCGGCAATCTATATTTAAAATAAAGATAAAATTTTTTTTCATAATTTATATTTATAAATAAATAAATATAACTTATCATAGTTTATATTTAAAATAAATATAAATTATCGTAAGTTAAATTTTTCTAAATATCAATTACAATAAATTTAATTTAATACAGATATAAATTATTTTCACATGATTTATAATTTAATAATGAACAAATTAAATAATAAATTAGAAGAAGCTGGCGTATTTTCTGCTGATGCTAGATATCGACCATGTAGACAAGTTCCAAAACACGTAAAAAATGGAGGAATATTCGACGAAAATAAACTTGCAAAAAAAAAGCATATATGATCGTATTCATTGTATATTAGATTTTTGAACGCAAAAATGTTCTATCGGAAACTTAAACACGTTTTGAATAGATTCATAGGCACACATTTTTAAGAGTTTATTTTCGTTGAATTTTTCTCCAATTTTTACACGGTTTCACTCTTGTCTGCATGGTTGATATTCAATATCAGCAAGACATAGAATAGTTTCATCTAATTTATTTTTTAATTTATCATTTATTAAATAATAAATTATTTGAAAATAATTTATATTTATTTTAAATTAAAAAGAAAATGACACTCCTAGCTGTGATGCACAGAAAAAAAAATGAACGCTGGTGTATAGTGCAGATTCGTAAACATTTTCTTGAATATTTGCGTTAAAGAACTTTTAATTATTCTATCTTAGTTAGTTCTATTGACCTGTTGCACTTTCAATGAAGACTAATACTTGATAACATCACATTGTTATAATGATGTTAGCTTTAAAAAATACACAGATCTTGACAGGCCAAGGAAAATGACAGGCAGGTTGAGAAAGCTCTAGGCCTATCACAAGCAAGTCAGACCTGCAAAAAGTAGGTCTGGCTAAACCTCTGCTTCTCATATGGGAATATGAGATGAGTTTACGAATTTGAGGTAGTAAACCGTTTCAGACTATTTAGTTAGGTTGTTATCACAAAAAATTCTGCGCTATCTGATGCTATTGTTTACTAAGAGAGTTTCTAAATTTTCATAAAAAGAAAACATTTCCAAAAACACAAAAACTATTTATTTACCATCATGAATCAACCTAAAAAAGGAGCTTCTTTGGAGGATTTGGAGATGTTAGTCTAAGTGAGCATTTGAAAAATAGATGATACTCATATCCACTATCAGTAAAAAAACTCTTATGAGAAAGGACGCAATATCATTTTATGGAGATGAATTTCACATTCAAATATTTCAAAATAGGAGTGATCATTTGTTTTTTTTTTGAATTATTAATAAATTACTTTCATAGTTAATTTTGAGTTCGGATCAGATTCTAAAATATACAATATTCATGTTATAGAAAGCCAATCAAGTATGATTGATAAACCATCTTCGTTGACTTAATCATTTGTCAATTATCGTCAAGACTAATTTATCTTCTCTAATGAGATGATGTGACGTAGAAACATTACAACAGTACAAGTCTCATTGTGAAATAGATATTTCTGGTTGACTGAATGACTTCGATGTGAATGAATTCAATGTGTGTGATATTAATATTGAATTATTTGTATTTGCTGATTCATCAGAAATATCAAGAAGTCTAGAGAATTTCAAGTTCAGTAAAAATCTTCGGTAAATTATTATTATTCGACGAACTTCCTGTCAGGGATGGGCGAGTCAAGTCATTTTTCGAGTCGAGTCGAGTCCGAGTCATTTCGAAATGGTTTCGAGTCGAGTCAAGTTAATTTTATTATTTTTTTTCTTTTCTATTTATTTGGCTAAAGAATATTAACAATGAGTTTTTCAGAAGATGATGTCTAGTTCTTAGTTTTTGTGCACAAAAAGAAGGGAATAACCCTACACAAGATAAAATGGTATAGCTACTATAGATTTATCAACAAAACCGAACGTCAAGACGAACTTTTCTCTTAAATAGAATTCCACACCAAAATCACAAAAGGGTCATTTTTTTATGAGCAGAATATGAACTTAAATCTGTTTACTAGCAAAATTCTACTATGTACATTTAGTTTGCAGAAAAAATTTGTTGTAGTCACAAAATTGTCTAACTGTGAAATGATCAACAAAAAACCTCAGTTTTTATTGCCAATTTCGCCGAAACATAAATTAATTAAAACGGAACAAGGTGTTCCAATAACTGAAACTCAACTTTTCTAATCTTATTTGATCTTGAATACGACTGTGGCTTATAACAACTTTATATACCAAGAGAGACTGACAAGTCGAAGCCGTAATTACCACAGAAGCTAGTCGATCAATGTACTTACTACACAATATCAAAGAGAAGTTTTTCATTTGAACTTGTTCATCTCAAGATAGTGTTAAACTAGAGAATAAGTCATTTCTTAAACAAGATATGCCAGGTACTCTTGTGCAAAATACTTATACTACTTCAATCAACTAATCAGCTGAAGGTAAATTCTATATTAGAAAACGGATAAAAGGAATGTATTTTTAAGTAATTGACGAAAAGTAAATCCTCAAAGGTGGAAATTTTATCATTTTATAAAGGCGATAGTTAAAATTGGAAACAACCTACGAAGGCAAATCTACAGAGAATAAATCGTCGAAACCACTCGAAATACTTTTTCTATTTGTTATTTTTGTTTTCAATTATGCTAAATTTGCTGATCAAAACACTCATTTTTTGATAATCATGCCGCAGTTAGACAATTTTAGTGATTAGAGCTCAGATTTTTGGTGTTTAAAAAAAATGCTTACTCATAAATAAATGTTTTTTTTTCGCTTCACAGATAATCCAAAACAAAACAGAAGGAGACAATATATATGCATCCTGTAATACGTGTAGACTAAGATTTACGATCATATAAATAAATAAGTGAAATAAAGCTTTTGAAGAAAACCTTCTAATGCCGTATATTTCACTAGAATGAAAATTGGGAATCAGAAAAAATTTAGCTCTATATATTGTGATTTTTTTATAAAAGCAAATGAAAATTTTTTCGAGTGAATGACTCGAGTCACACAGTCGAGTCAACATCATCCGATTTCCGAGTCCGAGTCGAGTCCGAGTCAGTAAAAAAATGTGACTCGAGTCGACTCGAGTCCGAGTTTTGACTCGGACTCGCCATCCCTGCTTCCTGTATCAATATCAGTAGAAACTTAATTTACAAAGTCCATATCCTTGTGTTTATCTCGAGAAATTGTTAAACGACTAATAAATATGATAAAGCAATTTCTTCCACGTAATCATCTATAGAAAGAGAAGATGTTTGATCTTTTAATTTTTTCTTAAATATTCGAGAATCGATGTAGCAGATACTCTTGGTGATATTTGCTGTCTAAACTCTAAAATTTGACACTTTTACTATGCTGAAAAAAATATTCTTTATCTCATCAGTACTTGTACAAATATGAAATGACATCTTGATTAGCAATAATAATATAATAATATTCTACTGCACCAGTGGATTCATTATTCCAAGTGCATCCAAAAAATAGGCATTCTATATATTTAGATAAGTATAAAGATAAACTTTTGTTCAGAATATAGCTATTTAGTTAATATTTTTGCTTTGAAAATTTATGCAACTCTTATGGCTGCGTTGGACTCAATAAAATGAAGACAATGATTACATTACAAAAAAAAGAGAATGAATTCTTTTGATATAGTTACGTAGTGTTGATGCCTATGGATTAGGAAATTCTACGATTTATTTAGTTGATGTGCTACTTTATGCAAAAGAGATAAAAAATATTACCATGAATCATGAGAGCACAGTTAATAAGTTTGCGATTGCCTCAGTTTTCGAGTATTTTTCATCAAAACATTTAAATAAACATACTATAGGTGTCAATTCCCATACTAAAATAAACTTCACCTTTTTAAATAAAGCTAAACTTACATACGATCAACTCTAAAAATTCAAAATTTAACTTAGGATGAGCTTACAGAAGCAAAAATCAGGTGAGGCTCAAGCCTCACCTATCCTATACGTTACGCTACCTATGAACGAGAATTATTTTCTGACCAAGGCCGAAACTAAAAATACTTGGTTCCACTCATCACTTGTGATGATATAATATACGAACAGTCTTTATTTACCTTTTCACTTGATTAATCGTATACATTAAAAATAGAAGACATTAGATGGCTTATTCATATATGTATTGAATTAACCAAAATAACAACAAGCACCTGGACTATATATATACGAAGAAAATAACCAGTATTTAAGTCTATTACTTTGGTTGCACATCAAAATTCAACTATGAAGTTATATGGAATATTATTTACTTTTATTCTTCTAATTGGCTTATCTTCATGTCGTGACAAATTTCTTACTCGTACATCTGTTCAAGACTATGTTGATAAATTTGTTGATGTTGTTAAATTTAAACATCAAGGAATATTAAGTCTTAATAAAACAGCTATCCGTCAAATTTGGTCTTTTTTTAAAGCAAAATATCGTCGTTTTTATTCATCGACTAGTTAGTTATTAAATAAAATTGTTTAATTTTAAGACAATAAAATTGTTGTTTTGTTTTGTTATTATAGAAGAAGAACGAGCACGTCTCCGTGTATTTCGTGACAAACTCAAATATGTATTAGAAACAAATCTTCGAAAAGCAAGTACATATAAATTAGGATTAAATGATTTTTCTGATTGGACACCAGAAGAATATCAAAGAATGGTCCATGGTGTGAAAGTTTCATCTAGGTTCCGACGAAGTTTAATAGATGATGAACTAGATGAAGATTCATTAGAACGTAGTTTAGCAAGATTTGATCAACGTTATTATTATGCAAGAAGAGATGAAAATAACAATGACACAAGTCAACAACCTAATACATTTGATTGGCGTACAAAAAATGTTGTTAGTCCTATTAAACATCAAGGTTACTGTGGATCTTGTTATGCATTTGCTACGGTTGCAGTTATGGAATCACTCTATGCTATAAAAACAAATTCTCAAAATGTTACTCGATTCAGTGAACAACAAATAGTTGACTGTTCAAGTAAAGGAAATAGCGGTTGTTGTGGTGGTAATTTTGAACCAAGTGTTAAATTTTTATCAGAAAAAGGTGGTAAAATAGCTATAGAGGCTTCTTATCCTTATGCAGAAAAACTAGCCTTGTGTCAAAAAAGTGGTACTAATGAAATTGAACTTGGTGAAATTAAATATGAGAAGCTTGCTAGAGGAAATGAAAAAAAATTGGCTGAAGCAGTTGCTAATTATGGACCAATATTTGTTGCAGTTGATGCTAGTTCTGAAGATTTTGGGACTTATCGAAAAGGTGTTCTTCAAATAGATCGTTGTCATAAAAGAAGGGTGACTCATGCTGTGGTTGTTGTAGGTTATGGTTATGATGAAGAAATTCAAAAACCTTATTGGATAATAAAAAATTCATGGGGAACAGGCTGGGGTGAAAATGGTTATTTACGTTTAATTAAAGATGCTGGAAATATGTGTGGTGTTGCTACACAGGCATATTCTGCTAAATTAATATAAAAAGAATTTTTTTTCTAATCAATATTTTATATTAAATAAATGGAGAAAAGAAAAAGATAAAATAGTCTTCTTATAATGATCGTGATAGTCGGTTTTGATTTGATTCATTATTAGAATCTAGAAAAAATAATACATAAAAGTTTTTATATAAATATTTTTTTTGTAACGTACTTGATGTTGAATTATTATTTCTATTCAATTGAGATTCATTACTCATATGACATCGAAAAGATTCAATTAGTGTTAGGATTTTTAGTTGATAATACATTTGCCATATGTTGATCTCTATCAGAGATGTTCATAGCGGCGCTGCCGCGGTGGCGATGGCGGCAACAGCAGGTTTTTGAAAAAATCATCGTGGCAGCGGCGCGGTAACGGTAGATTTTTTAAAAGTCATTGCGGCAGCGGCGTGGTAGCGGCAGATTTTCTAAAAAAGCCATCGTGGCAGCGGCAGCGTTGTTTTGGAGGACATTGAAAAACTGCATGAATATAATAAAATTTCGGGATTTACAGGGTGTGGGTGTGGATGTGATGAGAAGATTTACAACCACACCCACCCCACACACCCTAGTTTTTTGAATACAATCTTGCGGTTCTTAGAAATCTAAAGTTTGAGTAAAAAATCACATGCTGAAAGAGCACATTATTTTCTATGAATTGGTATTTTATTAAAGATTTTCTGTCTGTTGATTAATGTTGTTTTTTAAGAATGTATTCTATTACTATTTTTTATAGAGATTTTTGAGTTAATCACTCCAAGAAGGATTTTGTGTGTTTTGCACAGCCAAGGCTTGTCAGAAATCAAAACGCTTCTAATTCATACATTGTTGATAGTACTCTTTTCACTGGTAGGCTTAGTTTTTTGCACTGTTGAGTTTGAATCCTGCATGTTTGCTGGTGATCGGCAACGTTAGTCATGCTCTTATATTTTTCGAAGAAAAATCGTGAATGAAGTTTTGATTAATCACAGACAAAACCTCTATGAGTACATCTTCATAACTATCCAACAATGAACGAAGAATTTCTTCCTACACTTCTTCTGCAACAAAAACCATCCTGAATTACAATAAAACTATGCTTAGATCCTTTTAAAATATTCTAGAACATACCATAGCATTTTTAGATCTCTAAATAGTTGTAATAGGTTTTTAAACTTGGAGATAGACAAGTGGTAGTATGGTATGATAATGACTACTAGTATGTCAATTTGGTGCAATTAGTATATAGGCGACATAAAAACTATGATATATTCGAGTTCTAACTTTCGGCAACAATCAATATAATCATTTCTACGTTTATAAAGATGCAAGATGATGCGTTGAGAACTTATTAAATCGATATGCACAGCAAAGCGAAGTTGACAATTAAATCAACAATAAAAAGAATAAAAATGTAATAATAAATAAAATAATTTTATTCCATATATGTATTGAGTTCGCGAAAAAATTAATATTTTATTTTTTTAATGTATCATTAACCAAAGTATTGCACAACATGAAAGAATAAACAATATAAATATAGGTATATAAGTAATGTTAATCGATCGAGCCGCGCTTTCGGAATATTCAATTGAAGCCCACTTTCCTTATGAGCCAATAGCATATGGACGCAGAATTTCGGTTCTGCTGTTCCAAAAGTAAATCGATACTCGGTCTTTTTGTTTTTTGAAACATATCTCAATCGTCAATCTTGATAATTGCAACAAATTGCATTACTAAAAACATACAATCGATTGTAATTAAGTTTTTTGATAAAAAAAATCTAATTACAATTCTACTTTTGTCTACATTCAATGAATTCAAAATATTTTGAATACGATTTATACTATTACTAAATATAATGAAAATTCGTTTTCTTCAGAAAATGTAGTTACTCATTCCTATGACTTTCCAATTATTGAAATTCGTCACTGTTATTTTGTGTTGAAACTAAAACAATTTCATTGTTCTTGCAAAAATATTTTAACAATGAACATCAGAAAAAAAAAGATATGAAAAGAAAATATTTGTTTTAATTTTGATTATTAGAATAAATAAATTTCTTAATTCGAATTCTTTAATATTGTATCCTAGTCTTTTTAATATCTTTACTTTTCAATATTAAACAATAAATTTCTATATCTTAAAATTAAATCATATATACAGTTCAAATCATTCATATTAATTATATAAATTATTTATAATTTAATATTTTTAATAATAAAATTTTCAAATTTATTTTCAAATTAATATATTTTCTATTATTTAATTTACTCTTTGAAACTAATCTCACCAGTTGAGTTTCATTTTTTGTTTTCTCAATGACAAATATCACATCATCAATAATATGAGGAAAAAAAGAAAAGCACATGGTAAATAAATCATTCTTTGTCAATATCAAAGTCCAAACTATCAAAAACAAAAAAGAATATTTATTAAATTATAAACTAATTCATTAATATTTGTTAATTTATTTTTTTTTACTATTTTTAAATCATCATTCTGAATATTTATAAAGAAAATAAGAATTTTATCTAATCGTAAATAAAATAGTAAAAACATTCTTCATATATTGTCATTTTTTTCCCTTCTTCTTCACTCTATTCCTTTTAAAAGCCTTCCAACCAATAATATTTTTATCTTATTCTTTTATAGGTGTAATATGATTCTCGATGCATCCATTTAGATAAAGTTCACATAGTCAGTTATCACATTGATTGGAGGATGTGGGTGTGAGTATAACTGTGAGTGTAAGTGTGTTGAATAGAAGATCCACATTCACACATCCACGTCCTTTTAATCATAAATTTCTAAACAAAGAAATTCTAGAATAAAATAGATAAAAAAGTTTGAATGTGAAAAAGTGCAACATCTAGCGAAAGAATCTCTTGAAGTGATAAAAAGCTTTTTATCTTTGACTACTTTTGTCATATAAACTCTAGTGAATAGTGACATACCTTAAGTTGATTCATCTACCTATTGTTTTCGAATAGAATTATGGACGATTTACTTGTTTTTTCGATCTATATCATCATGAAAGCACAATAGCAAAAGAATGAATTTTGATTTGAAATTTTGTCTATAAAAAGGTCTTATGAACATCAAAATCTTCTAGGAATTTCGAAAAAATGAATGCATCCTTCTTGAGGTATCGAGTTCTCAAAGAAACCCTATTTTTCATACTCAATTTAATTTATCTTAGAAGACAGTCTTTTCTTTTTAAATTCTATATCTTAAAAAGGATGCATTTATTTTCTTTGAAAGTTGTAGAAGATTTTGACGTTCGTAAGACTTTTTACAGACAATTTAAGATTAAAATTCATTATTTTGCTATTGTACTCTAATGATGGCATAGGTCGAAAAATGAGAAAATCGTCTATACTTCTATCCGGAAACAAGAAGTAGATGAAACACTTTAGGATACCTAAGTATTTACTAGGCCATATACGATAAAAGAAGTTAGAGTCTAAAAGCATTTTATTATCCCAAGAAGATTCCTTGTGAGATAAAAATTTAATTTATTGAATAGTTCTAAAGACAAATATAATCACATACATAAATTCAAGCGTTATTAACCAATGATAAATACTTAGATGTAAACACCACAATAAGTATAATAAAATGCTTTCAAATTTTTTCAAACATTTTCATGGTTTCGATAAATATAGGTTCACTTCAATCTATAAAACCAAATTTTAGGGTTTGGATGTTGTCGAAGACAGTTATACACTCGCACCCTAGTCACGTACCCCACACCCATACCCTCAAGTGTGTTGTTGTGTTTGCTTACTTGGTTCATACTACGGTGGGATCTATTTAATCATCGAACAGAAACGACTCTTTGTCCTTTTTTATTGATTCATCAAAGCCACCCAAAGCCAAACTCGTTCCTATTGTGCCTAAGCTCAAAGCTGATCCATCTAATGCCGTGTCCAAATTGAAACATAAAGCTCCACTAAAATCAGGTATATTAAATTCAACACTAGAACTTGAAGGTGTGTGTGTGGGTTCCGGCGTAGTCTTCATTCACACCCATCCACCACACCATAGTTTTTTGTGCCATTAGAAACTTTTCTCTATTTCGATGGAAAAATATAATTATTAATAATCTATTTTTGTAAATTTTTATTCAACATTTTTTATTGATAGAAAAAATCTCTCTTGATTATAATCACAGAGTACAATAATAGGTTGTCTCATAATGCACTGTGCAAGCAGTGTGTATATGTCAAATTACAAAACCTATTAAGTCTCAACTATCACACAGTGTAAACAAGAGTTCTCGATGAAATCTATTTTTCTTTAACTTTCAAAAAGAAACGTACACAATAGAAGGTGGATGTGAGCGCTGGTGTGCCTGTCAGTACGATTCTTAACTGTGTAAAATATTCACACCTACTCTCCTAGGATCCAACAGAATTCGCCTTTCATAAAGCTAATCAATTTTGATGATTTGCGATGAATTCTGATCAGTTTATTGAGATAAAGTACGTTTCGATAGATTTTCACAAATTCCAACAAATCTAGTATACAGTCTATCAATATTCACCAGGATCCATTAGTAAGTACAATATTTTCTTTCTTAGAAAAGCAAAATGCATGTGGAAACTACGGTTAATATAGAGAGATCGTAGTATATTTCAATTAATTTAAAGTATCTGCGTGAAGTCAGATAATTATTGATGACGTTTAGTATTATCGAATAAATCGAATCTGAGATCCAGAATCTGCTTTTTTTTCCCTACTCGCACATTTGTTTAAAAATATGATGTACCGGGACAGTAGTGAATATTAAATATACTCAATTTAAACGCTTATTGCTGTATAAGAAATTCTAAAGCCTGTTAATGCACTTTAAAAAACTTCCGAAGCAGCGAAATAGAATTCTTTCACTTGTTTTTTTCATTTATTCGTTTTGTACATTAAATTGTAATGCACAGTTTTGATAGATGTTTTCAACTAGAATAAGTACTAGAAAATACGTCACTAGAAATAAAATTTTGCGTTATATAAAAGTGTGTCAAGTACAACTCTTAATTTTCTAATTGATTTCTATACGAGAAATACAGTTCACTTTGTTTCTCGTTAGATTTAGCTCGTGATTCATGAGTCCACAAATGTATAGATGTTTTTTTTCTCTTTCTTTCTTCACATGGAGACCTATCAGTTTTCTTTTTTTTTTCTCGCTTTGCTTTGCTTTCGATCATTCTCTTTTTGGTATTGTCCTATTTATCTTAACATATAACTACTTTTCTTCCTTTTCTTGCTTAAATATTTGATTGTATGGGCAAATATTATTTAGTTGGGGAGAAAACATTTTACAAGGCTATTACTCACATGTTTTCACTTTGCAATAGCTTCTGATATTTTGTTTCTCTTATTATTCTTTACTTGCTCTTTTCTATTTCTTTTTTTCTTGTCGTTTTCTCTTACATACAGCCGGGCTCTTTCATAGTCAAAAGAGCATAGAGAGACATCGAAGATAAGAGCCCTCTGTAACAATCAATTTTTATCATACAAAAACTATATTGAGCTTTGCAATAAAGATGCAAATGTTTTCTTTAATTTAAGGAGGAAAACTATTATTTTAGAATGTTTTCAATAGTAGTCAATTGGATAGTAAAAGTTAACCAACAAGATCAGTCAACTAGCGCATCATTATCCTTTCAATAAAACGAGAAAGTAAGTCTAAGAAAGAATATCTTTCGTCATATTGATAAAATTAGCACTATATTCGAGATTTTTCGGTTCGGATTTCATTTTACGAATTGAGTTGGGTGTAGAAGTGGATTCTGCATCGAATGATACCATTTTTAATTACGATTGCCAGGCAAAAAAAAGAGTTAGGATAAGAATGAACATGAAAAGTGAAGAGAAGACTATGATTCTTTACCTTCAATCTCGTCGTTCAAAAATTGTTTTTTTTTAAATAGATATATTAATTGAATATATTTTCTTATTTTCTTTTTGAATATGCCATTTAAAAAGAAAGATTATCTTTGCACTGTAATGATGAAAGACATTTTTACATATCGTCGTTTTATTCGAGCAAAAGTCTTCGTTTTAGAGACATATTCTCTACAGTTGTTTAGATATCGAAAATAGAACGTGTAGTTATAAGGCAATCACGTTGTTTTCTCAGTGTTTGCGCAAATAACAATTAAAATATCAGAAATTTTCTTTTTTGATTTAAGTAGAACATAAAAAATTATGGAGCTGTGATCCACATCTTTATGTGTAGTCAAAAGTATTTTTTTCTCATTATCTATAGTGACATGATGTGAGTACTTACGATTTCTTTCTTATCTGATATTGTCTATTTCTATTATTTAAGCCATTTATGATGTTTTTCTTCTTCCATCTTATGCTTAATGTATGGAATTTTCCTTCTTCGCATCTCTTTATATATAGTTGTCTAGTTCTTACGGAGAGTGTGTGTAATGTAGTATGAAGAGATATATTAAACTAGGGTTTCAATGTGACAAATAACTGGCATATTTTACGTTCATATTAAAACCTGTTATGTCAACTTTTCCTTAAAATAAAGTTATAAAGCGAATGACTTCTTTTTATGTGTTACAAGTCAACTGTCGTGCGATCTCTATTGAAAACGAACAGTTGTTCAATGTTTTATTATTGCTTTTCTATATTGTTTTTCCATTGTAAAAATCTGTTTAGATTGTACTTTTTCGTTTTTGTTAACTATGGAGAATTTTACCATTGAAATTGACACAGATTCTGACGATCATTTGATAGATGTAAGACAATTGTTAGGAAGCGACGATCTACGCGTAGGGTTAGATGCTTATGAACCTCTCGACAATCTTCAAGAAGTGTATTGGCCGATTCGTCATGCTAAAGTTGGACAACTATATTCGGGTGATCCAGGACGAAAAACACACTGGTTATTTGCTGAAATTTGTCCGTGTCATCTTGGAAAAGGTGAACCTACGTCTAACAATACTTTGTTAAGTGGAAAAATTCGATCCCGTGGCAAACTCGGCGATGATTGTGGTCACATTATAGCTTGTTCATTAGGTGGAAAAATGGTGGAATTCAATTTATTTCCTCAGCAAAAGTACATTAATCGAGGATGGAAAGGTTGGAATCAACATTGGAGAATAGGAATTGAATATACAATTTGGATATGGTTAATAAATCCTCGCCGCATTAAACCTAGTGTTGAATTTCAAGTTCGCTTCTTTTATAATGACCAAACATATCGAGACAGACCTGATCATGGAAAATTTTTGATAAAATTTAAATGTGACGGTTATGAAAAGAATAAGAAAGTAGATAATCGCGATAAAAAAGAAATTTCAATGGAGTTATATACCATTTTGAAAGGCGATTTAATGAACACAATAGAAAATGAATCAGATTCTGTACCAGAACCTAATTATGAAAAATTCACTACTGCACCAGTCTCAAAATTTCATGATCTAACTAGTGAGCAATTTCAACATTTTATTTTGTTATTGCTAAATGATTATAAAGCAAACGAACAACAACATGTAGAACCGACATCAGCTTCATCTGGATATCGTCCGACAACAACTCCACTTACATATAAGTAATATTTCTAATAAGAGCAAGTTTTTAGAAGTGACAATAGTTGTCTGTTGTATTCAGTTATTTTTTTGTAGAAAAAATAAATATTTTTACATTTCTGAGTAGAGAAATGTTTCTTTCATCGAATAATGTAAAGGTTATTTAGCGGTATTTCCGACTAATTGAATTTGTTCTTATTGGAGTGGGGTGGATGTGAGTGTGTGGTGTTGACATCTTTATCCACACCCACACACCCGATTATCCATAGTCTGATCGATTTAAGGATGATTCAAGATCGCCTGGCCTATTTTTGGGTCTCAGGAGGATGCGCAAAGCTATTTAGCTGGGAATCACCTAGATCGAAAGAGAACCTTTTTTTTTCTATCGAATGCTTGTATGGAAGTTCAAAATTCAATGGAAAAAGTGTTCCGAAAGCAATTCTCAAAACATCCAAGAATCATTCATCCAATTGGTCAATTACAGATCAATCAAGTTTTTCTATATATTTACGTGCTCCACTGTCTTCTTGGTAATGACGGAAACTGCAGATCGCTAGTTGTTTGCGTTCTCGAGTTATTTGACTCACAATCATTCGTCTTCTATTTTGAAATGGATAGTAGTAAAGTATCTACGTAATAATCATTTATTACTACTATTCTTTGTCGATTATCGATTTAGAAAAAGGAATGTTATATTATAATGGAGAAATGCAATGCTGAGCCCAATAACTCGACAGAAATCAAACATTTTATCTGATAGTTACATTACTATATGTTGTATTCTTTATATGCAGAAATCTGGAAGTTAACCATCATCATTAATCTCTGGCAATGGCAAACAAATTTGCAAAATCCATTGAACTCAAGTTCTTCATCTGCGATAATGTTTCATGAAAATCTTCGAAAATCAATATTTAATGCAGATCCCTTAACCGTCATTCCATTTTGTCAACTTTCGATGAGAATCATTTAAAACAAATAACCACAATATTGACAATATTGTTATCTCTCTAGAGTCGAATCCTGTGCCTTTGATTATCCATCGTTATGCTCTCTTGAAAAATCTTGTCAAACCATATTAATTGAGTTGTGTTGCTGTCTGATTGAATTGATCAGCCAGACAAACATTTCCGCATGGATCACCCTTTCTTTGAGAATCGAGAACAAATTACAATTGAAATACAACAGTTACTATACTTAAGTCTGGCATAGTTTTTCTATACAAGGTGTTCTGCGGAACGATAGACAAAGTCAGTGATATCAATAAAGACAAAGATCGCTAGACGCTCAAACCTAATGATAATATCCTATTGAGTTCCTGTAGGCGTCATCATGTAGTAGCAATCAATTTGTGCTTTTTTCAAATACGATGAAGTCGAATTTACAGTATGACAAGGGCATTTTTGTTTTTCACTTGACAGTTCATTTCGCAACAAATATGTTTTAATAAAATTCTTTCATATAGATTTTCGACAAGTAAATAAATGTTAGAAATATAACAATATGTGACACATAACTCACAAAAAAACCAACAATTTTATATGTGACAAGACGTTGAATTTTGGTTCTAGACGTGCTTAACTAAAAATTTTAAAAAGGTTTTAATATAGAGTGTGGGTAGGTGTGGATGTGGGCGTGGGTGTGAGGTGGATATAGATGTGAGTGTGTGTCTCTAACTGTACTCAAAGCTACACCCACATCCACACTGAAGCATTACAACTCGAACATTTCGGTCGTTGCAAGATGGCCAGATGGTCGTAGGTCGGGATCAAATCGACACTCATCACTAATATTTTTTTGGATGCATGTCAACGACCATCTGTTCTCGGAAAAAGTTGTTTAATTAAAATTCACGATGAGCTCACGAATTCAAATGAATCACTGCTAATATGAAATTTCACAAAATATTTTGTTTCTAAACTTGTTTCAAGTACATAGACTTAGTGGTACATCAGTTTTCCAATCAATTTCCTACAATGTTCTCGTTCGGTTTTTGTAATGGAAGCATAGCCACAACCACTGTCACACGTACACCTCACACCCAGTGTGGCTGTGGGTGTGAGCGTCAATAATCTCTTCATACACACTCACACCCACATCCACACCCAACGTAGCTGTGGGTGTGAGCGTCAATAATCTCTTCATGCACACTCACACCCACATCCACACCCAACGTAGCTGTGGGTGCGAGTATGAGTTATCTTTTGATGTACATCCACACCCACATCTCACAGCCCACACCCAGCCACACTAACACCCCCACACCGACAGCCAGTCATACCCACATCCACATCGACACATCCCACACCTACACCGACACCCGCACCGCATCCTAGGGTTCTGTTAGTCTCACTGAGACCTATCTATAGCCGAAAAATGAAACCAAAAGCTTGGGATCAGTTGGAGTAGTTCTCTCGTAGGACAAGACCCACACCCACACCTGCATCCCTCTTTGGCGTCACTCGTGGTCTTTTTTTTTGGTGCAAGCTTTTTTGTTACTGTGTGGTGTCCTTATCATAGAGTGCTTATGCGATAAGAATTTTAGAGAAACGAAAAAAAGGAGGCAAACACAGACAGCAGCAAAAGGTAAAGGTTTGACACGTTGCAAAAGTAAGATACGAATCATTCGAAAAAAAAACTCGTCATCGGTGTAAGGTGCAAAACAATTCTAACAACAACATCATACTATTAACAATACTCAAAATATTTAAGGTTCAATTACTTGATCGTGGTGAGTAAATTATTAGAAAGGATCGAAATGCCAAAGAAACTATTTTTAATGTTATACACTTAGTGTCAAGAGACTACGAACAGTTTGGTTCTTTTTTTGTTTCACTCTTTTTCGTCCATTTCAGTTATTGAAGAGATCAGAAACGAAAATCTGTATAATGTAACTGTAACTTTGATGAGATTACGTATCAAAAAACGACGAAAACTATAGTAAAATTTGGGTGTGAGTAAGAGTAGTACTGGAAAATTTTCCGCTCGCAAACCAATCTGCACAGATGAAGGCCAGAATTGGTCTGTCAGAGATCGATATGTGACAATAACGACGAAAAGCTTCTAATCATGACGAAATCTGTAACAGTGAGAACAGAAAGCTTCGATTCACTTACTGATATAACGGAGTTAGAAGGACAACTTTTACCATTGACAGTTATGTGAAATATCAAGGACCAATCACTTTGAACTACGGAACAATTCGTTAAACTGTTGACGAAACAGCTCCGTTCCGAACGGCTATGAGCGAAACTCAGACTGAGAAACTTTGGGCTACATGGTCGTGCTTCGAAGTTAGTGTGCAAGGATTCGTTCCTTCCACCAATTTGTCAGGGCAATACTGAAAACCTCAGGACCATCGAACAATCCATAGAAAGCAACCCCAAAAAGCTTCGCAGAACAGAGAAGTCTGTCAAGATGAAAGCTGACAGATTCAAGTAGTATGAAAGTCTCTGAGAGTCACAAAGAAGAAATCGTGCTCTCATAAACGCGGGTGATGGTGAAAATACAGGAGCCGCGATCATCAAGCAATTTATCAGGATCTCAGCGACAATTTTCAAGTGATACAGAAAATCATAAGAACCCAAGCGGAGAAATCCAATCATTGAATCTTGTTGGATCCGTTCAGAATCAATGTCGGATTATGTCGGAAATGGTCGGATTCTATCGAGTTGAGTCCGGAATTCAGGGATCCAAAATCCGACGAATATAGGACCGGGAAAGGATCCTATCGGATCCGACAAGTTTCGATGAGTGGATTCGATAAAGTCTTATCGGAACCTCTGACGAAAATGAAGAGATCTGACAGGATCCGGTGGGATTTGAATTATTAGTGTTCTATAGTTGTTCTGCTTCCAATTCATTATCATTTATTTACTATATAATAAATAATTACATTTATGACGCCGGCAGTAAAAATATACCGCTTACGTTTATTAAGACCCAGACGTGCGATAAAGAGATTTCTGCTCTTTGCTAATAAGACTTTCGCCAGTTATCGGTGAAAGTCCGGAAGGTGTATTGACGAATGTTCATTGAACTTTCATTAATTGATGAATGTCCACGGGACGAATTGGCAAAAGTCTGCTCAATTTTCACCAATTATTTGGCGAGAATCTTGTAGACTTTTGCTAGTATTGGCAAAAATTGAGTGGATTTTCGTCAATTGACAGAACAGTATAAACGTAGCACATATGCGAAAACTGGACTCAGTAGTATTAAGATGTATCTTAATGCATACACTTGGAGTGTGTTCGAATATGATCATATTAATGTTTAGTTATAAGCTGCTCAATTACAAAAGAAACAGTAAATAATATGGTGTCAAACGATGCAGAGATAAGAGAGAAAAAATAGCGAGAATAAGATATATGAAAAATAAATTTATCAAGAAAAATTTAGTCACGATCTGGTGATAAACTCGACGATGAACATGATGAATCTGATTTTGAAATATTGTTTTGGTTTTGGCTTTCCCGTTCCTCCTCGACAAACAGCTTCACTGACAAGATAAGCAAGAGACATTAATGTGTCAACCAAGGATCTTTTCTTTGAGTTTAATAAAAGTAAAGTTTTTCTATTTGTTTACTTTTACGTGCTGCTGGGTGTGGATGTGGGTGCTGATGTACCTGCTTCTTTGCCAATAAAAACACTCACACCCATACCCACACCCACACCCACACCCACACCCCACGCCCCACACCCACACCTACACCAACGCCCACACTCACACCCACACCCTTACTTTGATATTGGACGATAATGATTGAAACTGTTGAGTGTGACTTTTTTTATTGCTATAATAGGAAAAACTTCAATTTTCTCCAATATTTTTGTAGATTGCAGTCGAGTGATTTTGAGAAGAAAAAATGTTTTAACATTTCCTTGTCTCACAAAAAAACTAGAGGAATTTACAAAAGTATCTATCAAGACAAGTTCACAAGTACGTTGGTGCTTTCTATGTCGGATCAATTTTCTGTACTTCATTGAGTTTCAATTGAATTAAGTAACATTTTTCATGCTTGATAAAAACTGCAATCATAATCAACAAATATGATGAGTATTATTCCATTAAAATGATAGATCTCATAATAAAACCGTGTGAGAAAAAAATATATTTGCTTTTATTATTTTTTTCAAAAAATGTGAGACGAACATATTCATTCAAGGTTAGTAACTAGCAATATGACCATAATATTTTACTACATGCATGCATTTCGAAGTATCTTTTTTTATGATGATACTTCTAATCTTTCTGTACAAAAATACATACTTCGATCAGTTGATGATGTATAAGTTTGTCTTAGATATCATCCATTTACTCGGAAAAGTATCGAAATTGTTCGACTGCTCTTTATTTTAACAGGTTTTTCAATAACGCACATTCTTAATAATAATGTCGATTGAGTATATCGAGGGTGTGGGTGTGGGTTCTTTTGAAGAGAAGATCCACACTCACACCTACATCCACACCCACACCTAACTTATTAACCAGCAGTTTCATCAAGTTAAACAAAACATAAGCCGCTGATTATTTTCTGTTTTCAAAGAAACATAATATGTGCGCGAAACATCAACAATAATATTTACCTTTTGATCAAAGATTGAATTTTTCTTTATAACATTATAAACTTTTTCTAATTTTGATCCACGTTCTTTAAGAAAATCAATTTCTTTAGCCGAATTTTTACATTCATTACATGATTCTGAAAAGAAAAAAGATATACATTTACATGAATTTTCAAACCTTTCGATATATTCAAAATATAGATGAGACTTGCCTTGTATTACTGTTGAATTTGTTTGTTGTTTATTCTTATTTGCTTTTTTTTCAAACTTGATAAATCAAGATTTTTTTTGATTAAATTCTCTTTATTCTTTGACCATCGATCTCCTAAATCGAAAGAATAAAATTCGACTAGCGATCATATTAATTGAAGAAAATTTCATACCTTCATGTTCAGTATCTGATGAAACAGAAAGAGAACTGCTGTCAGATTCTTTATTTTTACGCTTTAATGTTTTTTTATTTGTTGATTCAGAAGAATTTGTTAGAATACGATTAAAATCATCATCTTCGTCGTTGTCGAATCCTTAAATGACAATGACAGTTTGTAAGAGCTAGACATGAAAAAGCTATTAAAAAACGATATTTTTCGCAATTTTCAGTCGCAAAAAATAACTTTTAGAACTTCATTTTGCTCGACGAGCATCATAAAATATTCTTTTAATATTGCTGATACTGTTCATTGACGTGGTTTTGAATTATTTCTTATTCCTAAGCATTTCGAAAAATATAGGGTGTCCAGAAAGTCCTTAGAGTTAGAAAAATTTGCATATCTCCTTTACGGCTCGACCAAACGAGCTCATTTTTTACAAAAGGTAGAGGCATGTTCACACTCCAAATCCATATGGACAAGGGTATTCAGAATCTTTGTTAAATATGACTATTGACCTCAACAGGAAAATTTATATAAAAATACTCTAAGCTTCAACTAAGTAGAATGATCGCTACACAAATGATATCAATTTTATTTTGCTGCCGAACAATTAGTACTACCTTTCATAACTAACTATAACTAATTATACTATCTACCGATTAAACGTCTCTGAAGAAAAATTCGAAAAACCAGCACAGTATTTAAAACATATATGATTAGCTAGTCGAGCAAGGTTTGTTTAAATTTTATGCAAACAGTTTATATGCATTTTCTTTCTTTTCCATCTTTGTTGATGGTCCTTTCATTTCATTGGTTCAATGACAACTAAACCGTTGCAAAATTTCTTTCATTTTCTGCCGTCCGAAAATTAACTATACATGCCTTTCTGCAAATAATTACGATCAATTTACGAATATTTAATTGTGTGACTAAATTAATGATGTCGCTTTTTGGTTTACTCAAGATCTTGGGCAAGACAATTAGAATTCAAATTCTTTTTCAAGATCTTGACATCTTGAAATCTTTGAATATATCTAATCAAGATCTGTAGTACAGATTCATCTGATCTTATCAGAAAATACGTTTGCAAAAAAAGACGAATTATCTTACAAAGATCTTGACAAGATCTTGCTCATCAGTTCCAAGATTCCAAGATCTTGCTTACAAGATGTTCCACTAGAGTGATCAAAAATGAGAAAAGAAACAATATATGATTGAATATTTTAAAGTTCAGCATTGTTACAAAAAGAAACAAATCGAATAGTAATACAACAGACTCAGAAAGAGACGAATAAATAGATTATACATCAAAGTTGAGACAGTCATATGATTTGCTAACTCTTTTTTTTCAATGACTCATAAGAAAAATTTTACAATATGTTCAAGATAAAATTTCCCTATCAGAGAAGCAATATGAATATAAATTTTATGATGGACATATTAAAATTAAAAAGAACGCATTTTTCGGAGTTTTTTTGTTCGATTTCCAGTGCGTTAAGGTGTCATGAGTGTCTTATCTCTTTAGAATAATTTAGTATATAGACTATTTTAAGTTTGTAAACAAAAGTGCATTTTAATAATCCAATCGTTTATCTACATGTTAAAATGTTTTTTTTTTCGTATTTACATGTTGTTTTAAATGAAGGTAGATACAAGTTTTTAAAGAATTCAATTATGTATCTATCAAAAATAAATTCTGATTATCTAATTAAGATCCACGCATTCTAAATTACGTGTAAAATCTACATATTCATATGTTATCCTATGGAAAGCTCCGATCGGATTAGTATTTCTCTTCTTAACATTTCAAAATTATAAGTCATCAAATTCTATAGATCCGTCTGAATTGTCCTATGACGTGAGAAGCATCCTCAAAGATACAAATAGAATCTTCTCAGGATTTTTTCACTTTAGGAGTTTCACATACCGGGTGGCCCAAAAGTAAGGAAACAAAAAGGGTATGCTATAATAATGGATAATAGATTGTTAATGATCTTTTTTACACTGTTTATTGATGTGGAAAGCTGAAACTTTCAGACATAAAAGATCTTAAATAGATATATATGTGATAAAAATTTGAGCTCTCTATATCAATATAAGGTATGAAAAATATCTTTAACAATTTATTATACATTATTATAGCATATCCTTTTTGTTTCCTTACTTTTGGGCCACCCGGTAGTTCATTATTTCCGTATTTAAATTTTTGTCTGATGTTCATATAAATGATCATCCTGCAAAAAGATTCTGCATTTTCTCAATTTCGAATAAAATCCTCAGATCTCTATGTTTTTCTATTAAAAGGCTACATGGAATTAGCATTCCTCTTTCTTCGAGGACCTCCTTACAGCAATTTTCAGGCGTAGCTTTTAGGATCAAAAAGATCTTGGCAAGAACTAAAAGTGACATAGATGTAAGAATCGTTACCAAATACTTTTTTCCTCATAGGAAACTAGGAAAAGACTTCTGAATTTTTATCTGCGAAACAAGCATTCTCAAAGACGAATATCGTATTTGTAGCGCTTGCTCTCACGAGAGACGAGATCCTTTCGACAACGATGATTCATTTTCTTTTTCTCGTTCATTGTAGTAATTCCCAATATTCCAGTCGATGCCCGATGGGCACAGACTGGGACGACTGTTGCTGGAGGCCATGGAAAAGGCAGTGCCACCAATCAACTCTCCTGGCCTTATGGTCTCTTCGTTGATGATGATCAAACGATTATCGTCGCTGACTACTACAATGATCGTATCATCCAATGGAAGATGGACGACACAAATGGACAAGTAGTAGCTGGTGGTCATGGCCAAGGGAATCGATTAAATCAATTGAATTGTCCAAGCGATGTGTTGATCGACAAAGAGGCGGATAGTCTCATTATTTGTGACCGAGGGAATCGACGAGTCATACGATGGTCTCGTCGTAGTGACACAACTCAAGGAGAAATCCTCATCAATAACATCGATTGTTATGGATTGGCCATGGATGATCAGAGATATCTCTACATCTCTGACATCGGCAAAGATGAAGTAAGACGATATAAAATAGGAGACAAGAAAGGAACTATCGTAGCTGGTGGCAGTGGCCAAGGTGCTGGTCTCAATCAACTCAACTTTCCGACCTACATCTTTGTTGATCAACAACAGACTGTCTACGTATCAGATAACCACAAGCATCGTGTGATGAAATGGAATAAAGGTGCAAAAGAAGGAATTGTCGTCGCTGGAGGTCAAAGCGAAGGGAATGCTCTGACACAATTGTCGCATCCTAATGGACTGTTCGTCGATACATTGGGTACCATCTATGTGACAGAATGGAGAAATCATCGAGTGATGCGTTGGCCTAAAGGAGCGAAACAGGGCACTGTCATTGTGGGTGGAAATGGCTCAGGAGAAGAAACAAATCAGTTCTACCGCCCCATTGATTTGTCCTTCGATCGACATAGCAATCTCTATGTCGTCGATTATGGAAATCATCGTGTTCAACGATTTTCAATTGAATAAACTCATTACAATGGATTTTTTTTCTTTCCGTTCTCTTGAAGAAATCACATTGAATTGATGAAAAGAATGGCTTATTCTATTCGCGCGCGCGCGACCAGGAACCATCTTGGTGGAGCCGTGGCGAGCGTAATTCTCATGCACGCATGGGACAGACTCATATCATTCATATCCCTCCCACCGGAGTGGCATGTCAATGAGTCTGAGGAGCCCGGTCGTGTTCCACGGACGCCAAGATAGTTTCTGGCCGGGTTTTTAGGGCCTTCCCGGAAGGTCTGTAACTAACAGAGTCTCATCTCACTGTACATAACTCACTCCCCCCCCCCTCCCCCCACTAACACTCACTTTGCTAAGGTTCACTATCTATTCTCATCTCAAAGAAAAAAACTTACCCACGTGTTTCGATGTTGGACGATGATGCTGTTGTTGATGATGCGACGCGATGATAGACTAAAAGGAAAAGAAAAATTTTTTAATTAATCATGCATGTTTAGAAAAGAAGAGAAAAACTAACCCTATCAAAGAACATCGCAGGACGGTTTTTTTCGTCCTGCCCTGCATCCTGCCGGGCATTATTACTTAGCCATCCTGCTTTACAGGGCGCAGGACACGACACAAAAGATTTCCCCCTGCGATGCAGGTCCTGCTGAATCGAAGAGCCGTCCTGCGTCTTGCCTGTAAGACGACTTTTTAATTCTCTTTTTTAACAGCAATGAGACCTTGTATGTATATGAAATACGATATCAAATATCATAAGAATACTATTTATTTAGAAAAAATCATTCACGATAACTATGTTAATTAATATAGCATACATTTTCTAGTGCAAGCGAAATGAACAAAAAAAATTGATATTGATAAAATACACATAAGAATAGAAGAAGAGAAAAGATAAGAATATAATATTTACAATGTATTCAATAGAAACGAATGACAATGAGAAAGAAACTTTTCTATTGTTTGTTCTTGAACTTTTCACATGAGCGGATAAATAATACATTATCAATTTGACTGGGTGACAAACGCGTTCGTCTTTGAGTAAGTGTTTGGCCAGCTGAACTAAAGAGCCTCTCCACCGAAGTACTGGTTGCTGGTATAGCATGTATTCTTCTGGCTACTATTGATAAAAATGGAAAATTACGATGAATTTCAGCATTTGACCAGAACTTCATTGGATCACGATCAATCAGATGACTTGATATTGATAATCAGGGTTACCAGATCTTCCGAAATGACCGGAAAAATCCCGAATTTTGACTTTTTTCCGAAAGTCTTCCGAATTAGGATTCTTTTCCGAATTTTAACATTTTCTAGATTTCACTTTTTTCCTTGCAATTTACTAAAATGTAATCATTAATGTGCCATCTCTTTTCTTCTATAATGATTGGTTACTCTACTGCTCTCAAATCAGAGATCGGCGGGACGATCAAAAGGGTGTGGGTGTGGGATGTGAGTGAGTGTGGGTGTGAGTATGGGTATGGGTGAAGAAAAGTCATATGGTCACACTCACAATCCACACTCACATCCGCACCCACACCCACCCACACCCCACACCCACACCTTCATCCACACCCTTAATACAGATAATGATGAGTACGCAGGATTAGAATAACTCGACATCAATTGAAGCTGGAAATAATTATCGAGATTTTTAGTTCTGTATTTTTATTCTATCAATATGGACACTAAATATCACGCACTTCGAAATAAAGAATCATTTATTTTTTCTAAAATGCATTTTACTTTCCTGTCGAAATATTTTTCGAAACATACGTGTATTTTTTATTTTATGTGCTATATTCACCACGTGTGAATTACTCATGTATATGACTACGTTTATACATTTCGTATCATGCAATTTTCTATACCCAAGATGTGTAGACTCTTTTGCCTGCGAGTATGTCATGAAAAGAAAAAAAGAGGACAAAACCAACAATATAACAGAGGACAGCAAGCATATAAAATACCTTGTTGTAAAGGCAAACAAAATTAATCCAAAAAGGAAAAAGCTAAGTGCTTCATACACACTATGCAGCTCGATCAATAAGTCAGTAAGTCAACGTCTGTTTTCCATCTATTTTGCGTTGTTTGATTTATTGCACTGCATAATGTCTTAGAATAATTTCGAAAATCAAAGAGAGTCTATTAATTGATGTACACATTATATCCATATAATTTACCTATAAAACACGACTGAAACAAATATTAAATCGGTTTTAATAATCACATTTTCTTTTAGACAGTCAGTTGATATTTCTTTTAATTATTGCTCTCATAAATTAATTTTTTTTTCTATATTTCACACTTAGTATTTTGATTAAAATGTGGATGAGTAGATAGACATGCATACAAAAGTATAAAGACTTCTCATCCACATTGACATCGATACCAATAAAAACCATCACCCACATAATCATCATTATGTAGTTGAACGAAAAAAATTCCAGTAGAAAATTTTTTAAATGTTTGGAATGTGAATATGCACTCTAAAATGTATGAATATAGAGTTCATGATAAATAGACGATTGAGTCTCACACACGTCATTGTAGTCTGCAACTATACATCTATCCACAATCATATGCAGGCGCCCGGCTTCTTGCCATAATAGGTACTTATCAATACTACATTTGACAACCTTTCTTTCCTATGCAGTCTATATGAATATAGTACGAAAACTTCTCTTATAATAATTAAAATCGAATATGAAAGAATCTATTGTGTTTGACATCTTTCCTTCATCATACTATATGACATCGACCTCCATTTTGAATTACAAATATTTGAAATCGTTAGGTGTTAAATCATGACATTGTTTTTCAAAAAATACCGTAGTGCTGTCAAACTGATGAAAATTATTATGAATGAAATAATTTGTATCATTCGATTCATTTCATTTTGATAGTGCTAACAAAATTTACAATATTTCTTTATAGAATTTTCTACACTATTATTAAGACAAAGATTTCTAGTATCGTCAATATTTTATCATTGGTAATTGATTCTTAATACAAAAAAAGTCAATGGTTAGATAAGTTTGATACATAAAATTTCCAACAAGTACTAGTTTTAGATGTAGTATTTAATGAACTTCGAGAGCCTTAAAAGATTTTGAAAAAAACCTTCCCAAGCTTCTTATCTTCATCATTGTTCTAGTTTAAGGTTTAGTAATGTGCAAAACTCTTTCGGTTTCCGACGGAATACTTTCGAAATCGAAAAAATAGCTCTAAGTAAGATTCTTTCGACCGATGAAGAAATTTTCAAGAATATCAGTGTTTCTTAGAGTATGTCATATCATACCAATATATAAAAAGGATTTTACAGCATCAGAATTGGTATTCTTGAAATTTTAAAGAAAAATATTTGGTACTTCGGAGATAAGACGTATTTTAAAGACAACTTTCAGATCCGCGAAAATATTTCCAAACTTCAAAAGAGTTTTCAATCGCTTCAATTTCTGCAAGCATATCAGACCGTCGAAGAAAATTTCTGAAAGTCTAACACGTAAGATTGGTATCGTTGGAAAGAGTGCAAAAAACTGAGTATTACCCTAGAATATGAGCGCGGGGTATAGTGTAGTCCCAAGCAAAAGTTTTTCAAACAAAATTTCCTGCAAGAAGAACTTGTTCTTTCTTTAGTTTCTTCTTTCGTTCAGTTATTCACGATGACGTGTATATATACGCTTACGATAGAACGAAAAGAAAAACTTCATGTACATATATTGAGAAGAGTGTATAACATTCTTCACGATGATAATTCATAATTAAAAGATTTAATTACATAATAAAAATTCTATAAATTCTGAGTATTAAAATTAGTTTTGAAATTTAACAATTTATTAGACGACTAAAATATTTTCTGTCATTTGAAGCGTTCTTTTGCTTAATTCATATTCAAAAATCTTGTTTTTTTATTTCTTCTTCTTGAAAATCGCATAAGTGTAAGACACTTAATCCAATCAAGTAGACGGAGCTTCATTTTTTCAAGCTGAATTAATCCGTTTGCTGTCTACCATATGCATAAAATTTGATGAAAAAGGATTATGTTCTCGGTGAATAAAAATAGCATATTCGGATTCAGTGTGGTCCATTACCACCACTCATGTTGAGATCTCCAAAGTGTAATTCTGACCATTAGCCAAAAATATTTTAATAAAATTCAATGAAAAAA